GCTAAATTTTGAGAGCTGGCTACGTATTATGCTGAATTCAGGAAACCTCTCGATTACGCTTTAGATTAAATTCCAAGTGGCTACAACGCATTACGTAGAATTAAATCAGCGAATACGCTCTACGCAAAATGCGCCAAGTACGCTCTATGTTGAATAAGAGCGGTCCGTCTACGCTCTACGTAAAATTAAAAAGGCCGATTATGCTCTTCGGAAAAGGGCATGTGGGCCCCCAAAGATGGCTGGAAGTCTGTACAACCAGTCTTTGCCTGGAAGATAGAGTTGACTGACCCATAATACTGGTGTCAGATGTTCATAAGGTCAAGTGTTAATTGTCACTGGGTCAGGAATCATGTATATGATTTAGTTTTGACGAAAACAATCATGGTAAACCAGCTGCACTTGTATTGGGTTGGATCTTAAAATAACTTGACCAGGGTACAGCCAAGAAAATGTATTTGCCACTTGTATTAAAAATGGACAGGTATAGCCAAACATTTGTCTGTTAGAAGTAAATATCACTTCTTCTGTAAAAAAAAGTGTATTGTCTGAGTTTGTTACATTTTGTCTACTTCCTCCAGGTCTGGAGTGAAGCATTATTGCACTAATGTAACCAGTATAGAGTCAGATCAGTGCTCTACCTATAAAGGACCTACCAATGAAATTTACCTTTACAAAAAGAGAAAAAAAATGCACAAAGCAGGCTATTTACAAACTACAGTGTTCCCTTCATGGTTCCATTTTGGCCTATTTTTATTTTATTTATTTTTTTTTCATCCGCCCGCTCCATTATTTTGCTAGAAAAATCTGTTAACCAACAAATTAAAATGAGTGGCCTAAGTCTAGTGTGATTGCAGAAGGTCACTTGAATATATCATTGAAACCTAGTAAAATGTCAAATCACTATGACATAAAAATGCAGGGTTTGATGACAGATGGCTTTTTTCTAAAGCAGAGGAAAGAAGAAAAAGGGAACAAATAGCTCATCAGGGAATTGTTTAAGAGGTTTGTTTGTGATACTGCAGAATGTCACAGTCAATGTTGCGTTCAAAGGTGTTGCTAGGTGCTATTTCAGTATTTGCAGATTATGTAAGGATCATACAAAATCATTCACAACTGCAATGAAAAAATGCTATTTTTTTCACAGTATAACTTTGTGCATGACCAAAATGCATGTAGCATACATAGAACACAGATGGAAGATGAAATCTGGATTATGAGGAAGCCAGAGGCTCAAAAGTTCATGCTTTTTACAAAAAAATAAAGTTAAAATCGATCCTTTCAACAAAAAACAGGTCCTGAAACGAGCCCATTATTTAAAATATTTTGACAACTTGTGTCCAAGGATCAATTTAGTTATTATCAAATCAAACATAACCACTTCATGAGAAGTTTACGTGTGAGAGTTATTCCAACATTGTATTGTACAACATACACATGACTATTGTCATTCTTGGAACATTTTGTAACAATATCACATCTATTAGGTGGTATTGCACTCACAAAACAGGTCCATGTGCCATATAAGCTGGTCATCTTGTCACAGCAGGCTTCAGGCACGTCGGCAGAACGTAGTGCGCCTGCGCAGAACCCCGTATTTTCATGTTTTTCCTTGAGTTTTTGGTTAACGTTGCATCAGAATTTTGCTTGTTGCAGAGGATATTCTTTCCGACATAACATTTGGAAACTACTGTCGAAATGCTAACCTTATATGAGCAATACAACCTTATATGCGGTTCTGCCGAAATGCTATGTACAATACATTACGGGTTTCGCGCAGGTGCAGTACGTTCTGCCAACGTGCTCAGGCTTCACATGTTTGCATGCAAATTTGAACCAATCTCCAACCTCCTACTATCAGTACAATGACTCACTGTTTCAAGTCTTATAAAACTGCAGAAGCTCAGAATGCATACAACATACAGTACTGGCAGGTAACTTCAGTGTTTTGTCCTTAAAAATACCGTAGTAGTACAAAGAGGTTACCCATTGTTAAACACTAAATCTTATAATATAAATAACATCAAACATTTGGAGTAAACCCTGGGCTGTTTTGATGGTTCCAATGGTCATTACAATGCCATACATGTATTCACATCTATCCAGGTCTCAGTTTATTCTTTTCTCAATAGGACACAAATTAGCAGTGGTTTCAAATCTCAATCAATCCTTGTATATTTCTCTAAGCAGTGTACAACACTTCTATCCCCGATTGACAACATCTGAACTCATCATATTCAGCCTTTTTCTGGAAGGTGCCTATCAGAACCACTAGATCTTTGGCACAGTGCAAAACACAAGCTTGAAATAATCTGGGATAGGTAAGTTTCCAATTTCTACAAGGCCAGCTTCTTCTGTTACATGTACAACACAATGTCATGTATTTTGAAAAAAGAACATTTTAGAAGCTTTTCTTCTGTGAATCAATTTCTTTTGTAAGGGTTAGAGCCCTGGTCACAACCCGCCGTAGGTGCTGTTTGTCTGTACGTTTTTTGGGAGGCTACGTCTGCTACGTTTATTCTGAAAACGTGGGGAAGGAGTGGCATCGACACACGTCACTCGCACGGTTGCGCAAGGTGTAAGAGTGTAGTCTGCATGCCACGTCTGGCCGTGAGCTTCTTCCGTACGGTACGTACGGGGCACGCGCGTCGCACGTACTCGCACGTACGGGTGGTGAATCTGCAGACCGCACGCAGAAAAAGTTTTACATGCACTTAAAGTTCTACGGCGTGTCTGCGTGCTCCCAAATCCGTGGGATTCCGTACGGAGGCGGTACTCACCACGCACGGATGCCCTACGCTTGCCTACGTTTGTGCACGTAGACAGCACGCAGAAGCACGTACGGCGGGTTGTTACCAGGCCTTTACAAGTGTGTATAGTTTTCACACATCGAGTTAGTGACCAAACTGGGATGACACAGACCTACACTATACCCTTGTTCACTGAAGATTGAGGTATGTTTAAAACATTGTTGTGTGTAAATGATTGTTGTAATTATGTAACTAAATATTTTCATAACATAACATGTTTGGGGCATATTGTACTTTCTAACTGCAACATTATGAACAAAATTCAGCACCATTTTAGAACATCAGTCAGCTGACATTAGCACACATGTCCCCTCCCCAAAATACAACCAGCCTAGTCCCAAGGAAAGGAAACTAAGCTTGATGTTTTAGTACAGAATTTAAAAGCATTTTAAGCTCTTCAAGCAGAATTATGATTCCGAGATCTATACATTCATAATATTTGGCAGTCTGCTTCAGAATCTGTATCCACTTTTGTGTTAATCTGTTTACTTTGGGCACATGACTTATTACACTGGTATAAGTAGTAAGTACTATTCATATAATCATAACTTTATCCCCATCTCCTTGCTTACAGGCTTGTCAAGTCTCCATACATGCTACCCTTTTCAATGACAGCTCAAAGACAATAAATACAAGTACATGTAACGTTACATCAACCTTTCCACAACAACAAGGCTCTACCATCTCATAAATAGGTTCAATATAGGTTAAAATGGTGAGGGTGCCAAGGGATAGACTGTGCAACTTTGAGACATAATCAATTGGACACTTTGTAGTTATAAAATAGCCCAGCTTTTCGACCTTTTTGTTTCTATCATGTAAAAGTAGCTTGGGCACAGATAGACACAATTCACACAGAATTCACAAAGATGCCCCTCTAAATGTAGATACAGTCACTATACTGTTCATTAAAAAATGCGGTTAAGTATTGGTTCATACCACTGACACCTTTCTTAGTAACGTTACACTGAGACTGTTTCCACAATCGATGCCTTGATCGCATCACTGAAAGTTTGGTTCTCCTCACTTAGAGTTCCAATCTTTTCTTCAGCTTCTTCGTATTCCACCATTCCTAACTTTTCCAGCTCACAAGTTGTAGTTGAATTGTCGGTTAGCGGAATGCAGTTGGTCTCCAGCGGTATTGGCACAATGTTCTCTTGATTGGAGTTCTCGTCTGGCATGAGACTGACCGTTTCGACTCCTCCAATCTGTCCATCCGTGTCCAGAACATCTCCAAGCGGCTCCAGTCTTCCAGCTGGCTTAGCATACGTCAGATTAGTGTAACTCTTTCCAACTCTGTCCTCAATTTCAGACTCTACTTCAGATAGGTCAGGAATGCAAGAATTCTTTGGAGATGTAAGGGTTTCCTGAGCTGCGTGCTCTTCCACACAACACTGCTCTAATGGCGAAGACAACTTATAGTTGGAACGATCTTCATACACATAACTATCACTGTCACTACTGTCTGAGTCAGAGGTGTCTGGACTCTTATACTGGTAAACGGCTGACATGGCACATTTTTGTTGAATAGTATTTTCTTCATCAGAATCATTATAGTGGAGACCACTGGGTAACATACTAGTGCCGTTACAGTGAGGGTTTAGAACACGACTATAGAGGTTTCCACTGGAGGAAGAACTTCCCGGGCTTGAGAAACTAGCCTGGGGGACCTGGTAGGCAACCTCTAAGTGTCCATGTACAACCGGAGACACCAGAAGGCCCCCATCAGAGGGAGTTTCTCCTAGCCTATCATCATGGGCGGTATGACCATTCAGGCCAACTACAGCCCCAGTGTCAGTATTATCTCTGACCACGTTCACAACTGTTTTCACCTTCTCCAGACCGCCCGCTCCTCTTGGGTGGAGGCCGTTCTGCTTCTTCTCCAGCTCCAGCCGCATGATGGTGTGGATGAAGTGGGTACGCACTCGGACAGGGTTGAACTCAATCCTCCCTGCCAAGTTCCCACAGCCATCTTTGGTACAGCCGCATGGGAAGGACAATCTATCTACCTGTTCCAGACAAAAAAACATACATGGAAAACATTTACTATCTAGACATCATCTTCATCATAGGAACTAGAGAAGTAACATTTGCAAAGCAAATGCATAATGTTTACCTTCAGACATGGTCTGCCCTGTTAATTCTTACTCAAACACATTCACATACATGTACTACTAGTATATGGTGACAGGAGCAGAGCAGACCATGAAATTGCAACATTATATAACCCAACACCAGTCACCATGGGGACAGACATCAACAAATCATGTCATTGGTCAGGTCAGAAGTCACTGTTTGGAGAAGAAGAGGAAGAAACTGAGCAAAAACAACATGTTTTCCTGTGGTAAACATAAATAGAACATTACTGTCAAATATGCAAACAAACTGGTCATTACATGACAAATATTTGCAGTAGGTACAACACAGGTGTCTCTGACATCGTCAATTAATTTGTTTTTCACAAGAATTAAAAGTGCTCATATGAAAGAGGCAGCTGATCATTATTTTGCAGTGTTTTTAGCAAACAACCAAGAATAAGGCTATGTTGTACAAATCTCACAACTTTGCCAGATGTCCCTGTTCAAGGTTGCCAGGAATATGGTCCAGTTGAGCTGCCCCCAAGGCTCAAATGTCAACTTTTTACCAGGTACAACAAGATTTTGGACAAATTCGTATGACCAGTGGGGCTGGAATTTTAGAAGAACTGCTCACTCAGTGTCATTGAATAAAAAGTTATGTTTGATCTTTCCTTTGAAACCCTCTCAAAAACACAGGAAATACCATTTCAGAGGGTTCAATTTTCAAAATTTTCAGGGAATCATGCCCCTCTAGTCACCTTGTCGCTGATTCCCCCCTTCAAAACCCTGGCCATGGACATGATTTGAAAGTTCCAGGGATAGCTATGTAGGGTTGGTGGCTGGAGCTTCTATTGCTTGTGATCTACGTTTCATCAGAAAATCCCCCCCCAAAAAAAAAAACATTGATCCCGGAACATTTGCAAAGGACGCTAGATTCCGACAGTCAGATAGTCCAGATAGTCCTTCTAGGGAACATGGAAAAAGAAAGTCCAGGAATTATTTGTTAACTGTAATGATAAGTTCACGGTACAGAAGTGACAGTGAAAACAGTGAACATAACAGTACAGTGAAAAAATCAGGAATTACAGTACACCATTAAATAAGCTACCAACCTGGCATTTAATGTCTGCAATACTGCAGGCACATGTCTCAGGGTCACAGTACACCTGACAGTTACATCCGCACATCTCTCGCGACATTCGGATTTGCCGCAGCTCCCTTTTCTCATTACTGTCAATTCGCTTGACTCCTGCAGAAAAATGGAGAAAAAAGGTCAGACATTTTTGTTATGGGACAACCACTGGGGCTCATATGACACCGGGAACATGAACATCATGATTTTATGCCACACCAATTTAATTTGTTGGTTCTCGTATCTTCTCAGAAAAAAATATGAAGCGACAGGGCGAAAAATAAAAATAAAAACAGGCCTAGGCATCCTATTATAGCCCCAAATGCTTCGATTGCAGCCATGAAGTCAACACAAAGGGCTGGGATAAAATTTAAACAATAAATTTTTTAACCAAACCACTGCATTAAGAGATTGAAAAACTGTAACAAGTAGGAAGGACTTTCCTCAATTGTTGCGAGCAAAATATGAGCATTTTTAGTTGATTCAGAACCAGAATAGAAGAGGCGAATCCGAGAACCAACAAATTAGATTGGTGTGGCTTTATGTTTGCACAAGTTGTACACAGTACAATTTCAGTGAGAGGATCCATGACAAGACATACTGAATGATTTAGCAGTGAAAACATTATTTTATCATGCATTACCGGTATATCTACTTGAAGTCCATCATAGTAATAAAGCAACCATAGGGCCAGGTGTTCATTTTTGTGGTAGACATGAGATGTGAGTGTTTGAAATTATAAAGCTATAGTTTGTTCTTTAGTGGGAACTACAAGTTAGTACAAGTTGAACTCTGTGACTTGTAGAATTGTGACAGATATCATTGCATGAAGATATCTCAGTGGGAACTGAAAGTCCATGTCATTTACACCCGTGATCAGTTAAGCTTCGGTCACAACCCGCCGTACGCGCTTCTGCGTGCTGTCTACGTGCAAAAATGTAGGCAAACGCAGCGCATCCGTCCGTGGTGAGTACCGCCTCCGTACGGAATCCTACGGATTTGGGAGCACGCAGACACGCCGTAGAACTTTAAGTGCATGTAAAACTTTTTCTACGTGCGGTCTTCAGATTCACCACCCGTGCGTGCGAGTACTGTCGACATCATCAATTGGTTGCATCACGTATCGGTAAAGTCTCGTGTGAATAAAGTCGCGTGTTTGTAAACCATAACTCTCGCGAGATCAATTGGAAAGTGATTGGTCATTAATTATCCTGATGAAGGTGACAGTGGTTGCTGAAAATTTTATCTCTCTGTAAACTGGGTGTTGGAACAAAGTTCAACTTTTTACTAAAACTACTTGACGTGTGACCCCAAGTAAGGGTTGGTCATTACTATAGATTTTGTGAAAATACATACTGTCTGCCATCAATCAATGGCACACTGCATTTGTACCTGCTGCTCGGAGCATGAGACGTCTCCTCTTGGTGGCAACAGGCTGCAGGAAGTAGTAGTCATCAGGGTCCTCTGGGTCAGACTCGGACTCCTCTCCCTGATACAAGTCAACAAACAACAGCATATCTCAAATCAAATCAAATATATATTTTTTATTTTATTTGGTAAGGCTCTCACGGGCAAATACCCGAATTTCGTCCTTATTACATAAGTACATAGAGCATTAAAAACAATGATTTGTGACACTCTTCATTGTGCACACGAAACAACATAGGCAAACACACTATTAAGACATATTCAAAGACGATTACACAATTAAAATCTATGCACATTATTCAGTTATTACGCAGGATTTAGCTAGGTACTAAGCTTGGCCGGTCATGTAGTACGTAGTGAAGAACCAGCCAGTAGGCTTCTACTCTGGAACCCTGATACCGGTAAGAGAAGAGTTGGACACCCAAACATAACAGTTAAGAAACTTATTGAAACTGAAACTGGCTTGGAGGGACATGACCTTTTCTCAGTGATGTATAACAAACAGTTGTGGCGAGCTAACTTTGTATGCTCCACCTCTACGGAGGATGAATGATGATGATGATGATGATGACTATATATATATAACACTACTGCTGAATTGTCTTGTTATAGAGGCGAACAGCACAATGAAGGAATGAGTTGCTAAGTCTCTTAGTCCGGGCTTTAGGTAGACTGATTGTGCCAGAGTTTCTGAGTGACCGTCCCGTGGCACCTGACCTAGTGGGCGGAACTAATTGTAGAGGGTGATCCTCCTGAAGCATGCGTTGGAACAGGTGTACTGCCGCATCTTCCCTCCTCGACTTCAGATCTACAGCAACTTCTCAAATTACAAACTTCATCTGTGTTTGTACTTACATGTTTAAAGTTAAAACTTAAGATCCAACACAAAGACGTTCTCTCAACTAGAGCTTTTGACCAGTCACTCTGGTCTTCCTCAGTAGACTGATGCAGTGTTGACGTCAAACTTCAAAGAAGCCACGTGACAAGCCTGATGTTGAGTATGCTTATCAATAATCAAAGGACATTGAAACCTGTGTCTGTCTTGTCATTGTGCTTTTAAATCTATAGGACCCCTGGGTGGTTGTCATACTCTTGGACAAGTTTGAGACTATTTCAGCATCATGACCATATTTATCATGAAAAGAAACAATAGGGCTGCGTACCGGTCCACACGGACCGGAAAAATAGTATCGGTCCGGTCCGAAAAAACCTAAACGTCGGTGGATCGGTTTTTTTTTAACCGGAACAAAAATTCACACTTGATCACTACACCCAAGGTGGCCTGCCAGGAAAATGAACATCCAGCGTTAAAATAAAGAGATGTACCTTAGTTTCCGTCTCTGAGAACTAGTTAGATGTGAGATAAGAAACCTAGTTATATCATCCATGGTTATATTTGATGTTCTTTGAAAGATACAGGACAAACTGTCAACACTTTATTCATGTTTCTGTCATTATTGAAGAATTTCAGTAGAACATGTGACGCGCGTGGATTTTCAGGTACAGGTACAGGTCCGGACCTGGATCTAAACCTCCGTACCTGTACCTGTACCTGATGTTACGAAAAGGTACGCAGCCCTTATGAACAAGCCCTTATATTCAGTAAGGCAAAACTGTGTTACCTGTGACTCAGAACTGTCAGTCGCCATCTGCTTCACCATCTGCTGCTGATGCTTATGATGACGGATGATGGCCTGGTGAATACGGTCCTGTTCCTCCTCATACCCCTTCAGACTAAACTTCTGCACATGGCAATGGTGGGCTGACATACCTGGGGACATAATCTGCCAGTTTAGATTCCTGTGTATTTGGGTATGAATACAAATGAATATCCAACAACAGACCATCAATGCGCAAAGTGTGGACCTCTGTCGTGCCCGTAGCCAGGGTGGGTTTGGAAGAACCCACCCACAAGGCTCAAAGGTCCACTTTTTGGTCCACTTTTTACGTAAAGGTCCACTTTTTGGTCCACTTTTTATGTAAAGGTCCAAGATTTTTCTTGAAAAGATGGACTGGAATCATAGAAAAACTGCTCCCTTTGTCATGGAATAAAAATTTCTCCCTGATTTTTTATTGGAAATCCTCTCAAAAATGCAAAATGACATTTTAGAAGGTTCATTTTTCAAAATTTTCCGGGGGCCCCTAGGAACCTCGTGCCTTTGGCGGCTTTAATTGTTGTGATCTCTTTATCTGTCAATATTATAGCTCATGTTACGTAGGTTTTTGCTCAGATAAACTATTACCAAAGGTACTTCCCTATGTGCGTTTGCATGGAACATAGGTCGGAATTAGGACCCCTCCCGTTATAGCTTGTAATACTAGTAGTTGTATGGCAGAAACTTACCAAGTGTAGATCCACCTTGACTGGGAACAGAAGTGAAGCCTTGAGTCCGTTTGAAGTAGAAAACTGTGACTCCATCAAACGCAATCTTTCCTCCCTTTGCCTTCTTACCTTTCTTCAATATTGGTGCTAAAGTTTTGGATACAAACAACAAATTTAAGAAGTGACAAGAACAGTATCACAGTAAAAAAAATTTATTAAAAAGATATTGAGCACCTCTTTCATGCACCCTCATGTGTGAATACAGTCCAATGAGATGGATACTCAGTAGGTATATTCATAATCATATACATGACTAATTACATATACATTTCTTGTATTAATCTTTATTTCAAAGAAGAAATTAATTTGCAGTGAAGGTAATATCATGCATCCTGGATCCATATTATTTTCTTTTCTTTGCTTAATTTCAAATTGTAATGGCTACTCATTGCAATGTTTCTGTTTCAAATTATATTATTTTATACACTCCAAAAATTCAGGGATTCAGAATTATTGGGATCCAGAGCTTAAAGTTCTTTCTTCATCATACATATCAAGTGCACTTCTAGGAGTCATCCAAAATTTCATACACTGCTACTTGGCAGCCTCCGTAGCAGGCTTATAGAATTGGGGGTTTGGTGTCTTGGGCTGTTTTCTGATAGTAAACGGGGGTAATTCAACCAGGCCGGCTATGTTGTCCAGAAAATAGCACATAAAAGGTCCCAAAGACCCTGAAGACCCCCAAATTTTGGCGTGCTATGGAGGCTAGCTACTTGGTAAATCCCTCACTCTCACATACCCCTCCCCCCCACACACACACACTTTTTCATTAACAAGCTTTTTATTTTTACCTGCACTCAATTTTTCTTCTGCAAAATGCAGTCTTGTATTTTAAGCCAAGCTATAGCATTGCAATTTTGGTGAAAAAATATTAAGATACCAGTAGATAAACAAATTTAAATTCATTAAAAAAATGTAAGAGTTACATACTACAAAAAAATGTAAAATCCTCTGGAATAATAGAGAAATTTCTTGCAAATTCATGTCGGAGGCTAATTGCAAATTACAACAAGAAGCCATAGGCGACAATCCTCCGTGAAGTTTTATATATTTCAACAAAATCCCAAGCGTCAACGCCAGACCTACTGTGCAGACATTATAATTAGGCAACGGTTAATACAATGAGGGCGCGTCACAAGCATAAAACATACAAAGAAAATCCATTACTGCTCCCAGGGCGTGTAAAGATACTGTGCTACTGTGCTTCAGCCCCACGGTCTTACCGTGCCTGTACCTAATTAAGCGCGCCTGGAACAGGCCAAATTCCAGCAACAGTTGCGGTAAGCACCGCGAGTGTTACTACCGCCGGCCAGATGACCAGGATATCTGCTTAGACTACCTCTGCTACCAGACAACTGCCTAAACCTACGGCCTATTCCACAGGATTGTAAAAGTAGGGATGTTTATAAAATATGCATTTACTTCAATATCAAAACAGCTACGGTAAAAATAAAAAGACGTGCATCATCCTGGACATAATGCCACACCACATGCGAAATTACACAGAAATGCGACGTACGGAAGAATGCGTTTTGGCTGCGAACATCTTCCAAAAAACTTGGCATCTCTTAAGCATGGGCAAAAACATCTGGAACCACTTATCAAAACCACCCCGTATCTGCATGAAGTTCCACCCCCCCACTGCTATTCCAAACAACGCGTTTTTCTGGACCATTCCAATTCGCCTCGTAATTGTGGGGGTGCATCTGCAATATTACATTGACCGCGAAAGCAGCAACGGCAAAAATACACATTCGTGCATCAACACGGGCATGCCCGCAGACGGCGTATATAATTGCGTGCCAATTACACAAGGAGAACCCAGTGTTTTGACTGCGAACACGAAAAACCAGC